AGCTTTAGCCTGCTGGGTTGCCAGTAGTTACAAGTGAGAAGCTGTAGTGCTGTTGCCATACTCACCATACAGAAGGAGCAGCTCACACCGCTGCATGTCCTCGGCTACCAAACCACAGTTAGTCCATACAGCCATTTTATAGTATGAAGCTGGTGAAGGGTCTAGAGCACAAGTCTTATGAAGAGTGGCTGAGGGAACTGAGGTTGTTCAGCCTGGAGAAAAGAAGGCTGAGGGGAGATCTTATCACTCTCTACAAATGCCTGAAAGGAGGCTGTAGCAAGGTGTGTGTCAGTCTCTTCTCTCAAGTAGCAAGTGGTAAGACAAGAGGAAATGGCCTCAAGTTGCACCAGGGGAGGTTTACATTGGATATTAGGAAAAACTTCTTCACCAAAAGAGTTGTCAAGCACTGGAACGGGCTGGTTGAGTCACCATCCCTAGAGGTATTTAAAAGACATATAGACATGGCACTCAAGGACATGGTTTAGTGGTGGACTTGGCAGTGTTAGGTTTACGGTTGGACTCGATGATCTTAAACATCTTTTCCAACCTAAATGATTCTATGAATACTTTTACTTGAGCTAGTCTGGCTTGATTCATAAGAATAGGTAAGCACCCCCAACTCAAACTGGACTACTGAAGTGAGGACAAGTCGTTACTCACGATAGCAGTTTAGCTTCCCCTATGCAGTATGACAGCAGACATTTCACGTGGAGAAGTAAGAATATTATGTTCTTATACTGGAAAGGAGGTAGGAAGATGTCACAGCTTAGGCCTAGCTGGCAACTGAGCACCACGTGGCTGCTCGCTCATTCCTTCCCCCCGTAGTGGGACAGGGAGGAGAAAAGGCTCATAGGTTGAGACAAGGAAAGGGAGGGATCACTCATCAATTATGGTCACAGGCAAAATAGACTTGACTTGGGGAAAAATAACATTAATTTTTTACAAGTCAAATCAGAGTAGGATAAAGAGAAATAAAACTAAATCTTAAAAACATCTTCTCCCCACCCCCTTCCTTCTTCCCAGGCTCAGCTTTGCTTCCGATTTCTCTACCTCGTCCCCGCAGTGGCGCAGGGGCACGGGGAATGGAGGTTGTGGTCAGTTCATCACACATTGTTTCTGCTGCTTCTTCCTCCTCCTCCTCACATTCTTGCCCTGCTTCATCACTGGGTCCCTCCCACGAGAGACAGGCCCCCACGAACTTCTCCAATGTGAGTCCTTCCCATGGGTTGCAGCTCATCACAAACAGCTCCAGAGTGGGTCCCTCCCATAGGCTACAATCCTTCAGGAACAGACTGCTCTAGCACAGGCTTCCCACGGAGTCACAGCCTTCCTCAGACACAGTCACCTGCTCCATCATGGGGTCCTCCACGAGCTGCATGTGGATCTCTGTGGGCTGCAGGGGGACAGCCTGCTATCTCACCATGGGCTGCAAGGGAATCTCTGCTCTGGTATACCTCCTCCCCCTCCTTCTTCACTGACCTCACTGAATCTTCAGAGGGTAGATTTCAATTAGATATAAGGAAGAAATTTTTTACAATGAGGGTGGTGAAACACTGGAACAGGTTGCCCAGAGAAGTTGTGGATGCCCCATCCCTGGAGGTGTTCAAGGCCAGGTTGGACAAGGCTTTGAGCAACCTGATCTAGTGATAGGTGTCCCTCCCCATGGCAGGAGGGTTGAAATTAGATGATCTTTAAGGTCCCTTCCAACACAAACCTTTGTATGATTCCATGACATTGGTGTCTGCATAGTTATTTCTCTCACATTCCACTCCTCTCTCCCCACCATCACACCAGGCCCGACAAACCCCAGCAGTGCCAGCTGGATGAGCTCCACTCAGCTAGTGCTCCAAGAGCAGGGAGCTTCAGAGCACTCCTCAAGTCTCAGTCTAGAGGGAATGAAGTCCTGTGGCCAACAACACTGGGCTTCAGGGAACTACTCCCCAGCCTGGGGCTGTGTACGGGCCTGCGAGGCACCCCAGCCACGCTGCCGCAGCTGCTGCCCCACCGCGAGGTGAGAGACAGCAGCCCAGCACAGACCTGCTACAGGTTCCCCAGCTGTTTTGTTTTGTTGTTGTCGTTGTTGTTGTTGTTTTTTCCCTTCTTAAATATGTTATCCCAGAGGCGCTACCACTGTCGCTAGCTTTAGCCTGCTGGGTTGCCAGTTGTTACAAGTGAGAAGCTGTAGTGCTGTTGCCATACTCACCGTACAGAAGGAGCAGCCAGAGGAGCCTTGGCCAGAGGTGGGCCTGGCTTGGACCCAAAGAAGGTTCTAGCAGCTTCTCACAGGAGCCACCTCTGTAGTCCCTCCTCTGCTACCAAAACTTCACCACACAAACTCAATATAAAAGAAAAGGGGTAGAAGAAAACACCGCCACTACTTGAAATACCAAAAAAACAAACTTTCCCAAAGAGCATAGTGTCAAAGATTAAATGCTCTCCCCTGATTTTATGGAATCCTTTATCTCTACCTTTGACATAAAACAGAAACTGACTGAACTTGCAAAATCTAAAGGCAGCTTCATTCCATTCTTAAGTTAAACCATGCCTGCTCTATTTTGCTCTTTGGTTGACTTAGTGACTCAGGCTGTACCAGCCAATCAAAGCAACATAATGCTTGTAACCATTGCAAAGCACGTGCCTCTTTACATTCTCCAAGGCTAAGCTTCATTGTCTTAAACTGTAGGCTGTTTCCATTACTTTCATCAGACTGATACAGACCCAAGTAATTTATTAGTCAGCACACCAACGGCCCCCCAGAAAGCATTATCTCACACATACACTACTATGAAAACACATCTGTTTTGATTAACTGGTCTACTGCATTCTTCAGTTCTTCCAAATACTTTTTTTAATTAACTATTATTTTCCTCCTTTCAGATATCACTCAGATTAAGGTGAGTCACATCAAATGCTAGCTTGCTCTGATGTAAAGCTAAAATAACTGTCTTTAACCTAGAGGTACTTTGTTTTGAGCATGCCTGGGCATAAGTCTCACAACACAACCTTTTCCAGTGGCGTCAACACTGAAGACTAGATCAGCAACCCTGAGTACAAAGCCATCTGCCCAACCAAGGACTGGCATGCAGTATTACTCGCTCTAACACAGTGACTAGCCTCCAGCATAGATGAGACAAGATTGAGGGCAGCTAAAGGATTCAGTCTGGAGACTCTAGAGTAGCTGACATCTCTGCACTAAGCAGCCAGAAGGCCAGAAGGAAGAATGAGGCAGAAGGTATCGCATGAATAATAATAATAATATACCTATATATACCTGTATACAGTTCTACAGCATCTTCTACATTCCATAGCTTCAAACATATACTATGCTACCAGGCAAAAGGTAAAAATCTGGCCATACTCATGCCACTATCTGTACATAAAAATATATAGTACCTGCAAACTCACTACTCCAGGGATGTACACACGGACAGAAAAATGAATTTTTTCAGCAGGGCCATCCTCTCTTTATTACAGAAATAACAAAAATGTACCCCCATATTTCGGCCTATACATGCTGATGCAGTTCTGACTGTTAAGTCAAAAGTATGTTTAAAAAAATGCTTTGAATAATTACGCATCAGAGTCAATGATGAGAGAGAAATAATCCCCAGTGGCCTCCAATTTGAGGCACGTGGCAGATTTCTCCCTCAAGCAGTTCATTGTGAATACTAACAATCCTTTCACTTTTCAGGTTCCTAGCAGCAGAACAGGTGACCTGAAGGAAACCATTTTGCTGCATTTCTGCAACACGATTCTTGAACTTTGTGTTGGAGGGCTGTTTTCCCCAGTGTGAAACCACCCATAACTCACTCATTGACAGGGACATCACATTTGAATGATCTTTAGGGAGCCTCAAAAGGCACGCACTTTGCAACAGTTTCATCTTCAGAAAGCACTTTTGAGTTTCAGAAGGGCCCATCAAAATCCCTCTGGAAGGTGAACACACTTAACAGCACTGTCCTGGTTTCAGTTACTGAACACAGGGACATTACCATATTTTTAACAGCTTCTGTGGATAATACTCTCTGCTGCAAGTTGAGAGCAATTATGTGGAAGTCAGAAGTTTCACTGCAACGAATCAGTGCTGAAACTGCAGTCATAGCTCTTTAAAGACAAATATATAAGCAAACTGATAATATCAAGAAAACTACACATGCTCTGATAATCCACTGTTGACAGATGGAGATTGTACCAGCCTCCTTCTAATTAAGAAGAAATTAATGGTACAGGTTTCATTCATTCCACTGGAATTACCTGTTTAGTCAAGTGTCAGTGAATTGTCATGTCTCTCAGCAGTTACAAAGCAGTGCTCTTTCTACAAGTAACATCCTGAGCTTATGCTCCCATGTCCCCTAGAAAATAAAAATAATCACAACCTCTGCTTCTTTCAATGCTTACAGGCTACCTGCTGTATTCTACATTGTAACTATATGTGTATACTGAATACATACAGATGCAGCTTAAGGTCTGAAATACCTATTCAAAGAAACAACAGTTTACAACTGGCTTAAGAAAGAAGCACATGGAATCAAAGATTTTTCTTTTTTTTTTTTTTTTTTACTGTTATTTCCCAGTTCTGAACAGTATTCACACAGCAAACACTTAAACCAAGATCATAAACAAAACCATGCAAGATTGAAAGCATTATTGGAAGTGACTTGTTAATACTGTAAGTCTACAGATAATGCCTCTCAGCAAGTTCAGCTATTATTTGGTCAATATTTCTCATTTGGCTTAATAGAACGTGATGGATAGCCAAATGAGAGACATTCTTTCTTCAACACCTTGAGCCAGGCAAGTATCCCAATATAAAAGAGCAAAACATTTCAGCAGAACGGGACATTTCAACAAAGCCTACACCTCTTCACACAAATGCAAGTGCAGTAGGAAGCGGTAATGACCTTTATATAGGTTACTTTGAAATCTGTTTCAGAACTTTTCTACCAATTCCCTCAAGACAAAATACGAAAATATTTCAAAAACCCAAAATGAAATCTTACGGCTTGAAATGCAGTAAGCCAGCCTGCAGTTGATCCTCCTGAACAGTTGCTTGTTGATTGGCCAAAGTATAAGTGTAAAGAGTTGAATGAAGTTAATGATCAGTCCTGACACTATAAATATGTAGCAGATCAGAAGGTGGCAAATGAATTGAGACTTCAGAAAGGCAACGATGTCCATGATTTGCTGAGAAAGCAAGAGTGTAACTTCAGATCCAAAATTCAGAAGACAACCTGCAAAACCAAACAGTATCAGTGGTTACAGAATGCATTTATTTCTACAAACAGACTAATATATGACTTACTATGTTTTACACTTAAATACACTAAATACAGTAAAATGAAAGTTACTTCTATTGCAGAAAAAGGCCCAATGACAATATTTGCAAAAGTAAGCATGGAACGAGACTACCATATTTCTGAATCAATTTACGTTTGCCTTTGGAAACAAATTTTCACATATCGGTCCTAATTTTACAAAACTCATGAGCGTATGACTCCATTCCATGGACTACGATACTCCTCTATCAAGTCTTTATTGTTAAAATATGAGAAAAAAAACCCAACTTATATTTTTATTTGAATTGTCTGTACTTTATAAAACATATACTGTGGCCTCTGCTATCTTCAAGAGCAGCTCCAAAGTAAGCACAAGCTTTAGAGCTTTATATTAGAAGTTGTGCCTTCCTCTACAGCCAGCCACGCTCCCCAACCAAGAAGTAGCAGCAGCTGCTTAATTCTAGCTTTATGGGCTTGTTCCCTTGTCACATTCAAATATCAGTTGATTTTGGCAAAAGAATAAAAGCTTGGCTATGCACAATACACACAATTTGTTCAATTATTCCTTGACACTGCAATTCTGTCAGTTATACTCCATAAGCCCAGAAAGGAAACATCAATAACAATACTAACCCATGACCCAGCATTGTTTCCAGAAAAAAAAAAAATCAACCCTTAGGTTACTTAAGAAATGTTTGTATAATTTTGGAAAGGACCAGCCCAACCTTGGCAGCTGAGCACTCAGAGGAAGTGTCCTCTGTCAAGTACTCTGGCCTCCCAAACACCATATTGACTTCCCACCATCATCACTACCACCACTGCTAGTCTCACTTTTTAGGAGAAAAAATATCAAGACATGATTTCTCGGTAAACACCACCCCAGTATTTTGTATACAGTTAAGCAGGAGGTGCTGCCATCCTGTTCCATTCCTACACTGTTTCTCCTTCCGAGGCACAGGAGAGTTTGCCCAGGGAGGAAGGCCTGAGACAGTGTTTCTGAATGTGCCAGTCACAGGCAATAACAAAACGGCAGCTGTCAGCATCCCAGGGAATTAACCGATGAAAAAAATCTTTATGCCTATCCTTTTAGATTGTATGAGACCCCATTATGTGAGGCACTGAGTCTAGATCAGTGTCCTGAAACATTTGTTTTACTGCCCTTGCTGACTATGCTTACCACAGCAAAGCGCGCACACAAGAATTGCTGCAAAGCAATAGGAAGTTATTTAGCCACAAGGAAGATGAAGAAAAATTCAAGAAAGAGAATCTGTATTGTTGTATAATTTATATAAAGAATTTATGGCAGTCCCAAGTCTATTATTAGCAGACCAAATGTGCCCTTTGTGTATCACAGACTTTATTTCTTTATCCTGCTGTACTATTCAGTACCAAAGCAGAAACTATCTGTAGCTGAGAATGGCAGATCAGGCCTCTGTTCATTGTAGTAACTACAGTCATGACCCTTGCAAAAAGCTTTTCCAGCTTTAACCAACCATTCCCTTAACGAGACGTTCCTGAGGGTGGCAGACAATTTATTAGCATCGGTTTTGACCAAAGGCATTGTTTTTGTTGAAGAATAAATAGAATGAGAAATGGTGTCTAGTAGGAATCAGTGATTCATGCCTCAGCCCCTCCATCGCACACCCTGAAGACAGAGCCAAACACTTTAAAAAAAAAAAAAAAAAAAAACAGAAAAAAACTAGTTTTGAATAAGCTTACAGTGAAAGATAAAGATTTCACTTCCCTAATTCAGACCACTGTACTTCACCAAGTAGCAGGATTAGATCACTTCTTTCAAACAGTCAGAATGGAAGCAACCCGTTACAACTGGATGGTTTAAAAGATCATGCAGTGCCTGAAACTCTGATGACTGGGTTTATCCTACCATCCTTGGCTAAAACTGATCAAAAGTTTTTTGTTCTAGCTGGTCTGTTTAATTCCATCCCACAGAATCACTCTAATCTAATGTAATTCCCAGAGATCAGTAAGGGACCAGATCAAAAAAAAATCCATACATAAAGTAAGATTAAACCACTGTACATTTACAGTGGAGACCTGAAAATTCACTATTTGATATAATCAACAGAAATCTACTGTAGTAAGCAGCTGATTGACAAACTTTGTGACAAGGAAGAGCCCAGCAGAACATTAGTCCACCAATTCGGGTTTTTTTCACTGTCATAGTAGTCAAACTGTGTTAAAATGTTATGTTTATGTGAATCATTTACTTCATATTGGGTCTTTAAAACACAACTTCACAGAATTAAAATAAACAAAGATGAGATGACCCTGCAAAAACATAATAACTGTCTTACAGTTTTATGAAGTCATGATGAAACGTTTGAAAGTAATTTATTCCTTGCTTTCATACCTCAGTCATCAAATTTCAATTCTGTAAAGCTTCTAACACGTTTTAAAGGCAAACTAAATCCACTTAACAAGTACCACTGAAATGCACCTAACCTAACTTGTTCGTAAAAGGAACAAGAAATTAGCTTAAACTTTGCTTTTCTGAAAAGTAGGGACATTACAGAGATTAATCTTCTCTTCTGCTTAAATGCAAGCTGTTTTCCCTAAACCTACAAAATTTGCAACCCAAACATTGTATACAGACTGCTAGCTAAGTGTTCTATTTCTCAGGCATAAGCTCATTCTCAGAAGATCTTTTTAATATGATACTTTTTGGACTATTTTCATGACCCAAACTCCAAGAAATGCAGTTTATTCTCAGTACAAGTGACAAAAAATTAAAAATTTATTTTCAAAAATCAATTCTGAGCTTATGAAAGAGGTTTAGAAACTCGCTTTTTAAGAGTTCATAGGAACTTCTTCCACTTGCTCTTTGTCTTTCTAAAATTCCTCATGGGTAACATCAACATAACACAAACTCAAGTGATAAAGAATCAGGTCTTTAATTCTTAATCCATGATGCTGGTTTAATAAATTATGCTGATTTCCTTACAGATAATGACTGAAAATTACAGCAATCTTTTGAAAACAAAAGGGCCAATCAATGCATTTTCTCAGAAGCTATTAAGATCGGAAAGCTGCCAAGAAGCTCTCTTCTATCAAACACCCCTTAAAACAAATGAGGAGAAAACAGCCAGCCAGAGCATCAAAAACAGACAGGGACATTATTTAATAAGAGTTTTCCTTTGATACAAAACAAAAGACCCGAACCTCAAATGTCTGTCTAGGAAGCAAGTCAAGAAGCATCTATTCATGGGACTAAGGGATCACAGGATCAGGTGTAAAAGCAAACTCCACAACTATTTACTCTACCTCGTTCCCCCCAAAGTTTTACTCTTCAGCAAGATCCACTGTGTTTTCTACTTCAACCACTCTCAGCATTTCCCTCTGCTTAGAATAACTGACCAGGAGGACATAGAAGTGACATGCAAAGTGAACACCTCTCTTCCAGCAGATGCTGCTGCCAATTAACAATGCTATTTTGTACTTGAAAGTCTGTAAGAGTTTTGAAAATACAACTAGTGATCTCGTAAAGAACACAACTCTTTGCACTTTCACAGAAAGCACAAGAACAAAGCAAAGAACTGTCACCCACCTTTTCCAAAGTTTATGTAGTAAATAGAGTCCTTGGAGTGTGGAAAGCAACATGGCACCTATGTGACAGCATCTGGACTAAGCTAATATTGTCCTACTTACAAATAGAGGCAAGACAGCACTATACCCAGTTATTTCCAGATCAGCATGTTTCAAGCCTGTGCAAAGGCTTTCACTTACGTCTACTCTTTGATAAAGTCCTTAAACGCTTTGCTGCAAGTTAAGAACAACCAAGCAGATGATGATGATGATGATGATGATGATGACGCCCATTCTTGTCTTTTCTCACCTAAACCAGATTCTTGGAAAGATGAGTTACAGAAACCAAGACTATGAAAACATGCTCAGGTCAGATTACAGCAGTTTCAGCACTGCCTCTATGTGAATTTCAGTTGCCATCAGAACAGCACAGATAGAAACACTGTATTTCGTATCAGAGTCCATTTTAAAAATGTTTCTGTATATGAAATACATACGCAAGGCAAGTTGCCGGATGCCCTTGTGCTCTTCTCTTTCTGTTAGTGAGTGTCAAACCTTAGCAAAAGTGAGGTTGTGTCTATGCATGTATTCATCTTCAAGGAGAATATATCTGTACATGCCACACAAAAAGACCCCAAGTCTGGAGGAAGAATTATCCATTTATTTGCCTCATGCTTAATTAGGGTTTGAATCACTTCCCACCTTCCCCAAATGCAACTACTAGAGCATTACCTGCTGCGCTGGGTTTACATGGCAAGGTTTTGGTAGCGGGAGGGCTACAGTGATGGCTTCTGTGAGAAGACACCAGGAGCTGCCTCCCACGTCAGACAGCGCCAGTTCCAGACAGCTCCAGCAGGGACTCACCGCTGGCCAAAGCAGACCTCACCAGCAATGATGGTGACACCTCTGTGATAACATATTTAAGAAAGGGTAAAAAGTGCTGCACAGCAGCTATGAATGATGAGTGAGAAAAGTGTGAGAGAAACAGCCTGCATACACCAAGGTCAGTGAAGAAGGAGGGGGAGGATGTGCTCCAGGTGCTGGAACAGATACTGTCCTGCAGCCTGTGGTGAAGACCCTAGTGAGGCATGATGTCCCACTGCAGCCCATAGAGGACCAAGTTGGAACAGACATCCACCCTGCAGTCCATGGAGGATCTCATGATGCAGCAAGTGCCCTGAAGAAAGCAGCAGCTGGAGGGGAGTCCGCTCAGGAGCAAGTTTTCTGGCAGGAATTGGCAGCCCAGGGGGGACCCAGACCGGAGCAGTCTGTTGCTGAAGGACCATACCCTGTGGGAGGGACCCCAGCAGCAGCAGGGGAACAGCACAAGGAAGAAGGAGCAGCAGAGAGGAACTGTTAT